GAGGAGAGAGGCAGAAAGAAATTTTGAAAAAGGGATTGCGGACAAATGTAAAACAGAACCAGGTCTATTCTATAAATTCATAAACAACAAATTGCAGGTAAAGGATAATATTCAGAGGTTGAAAATGGGAAATAGATTCACGGAAGATGAAAAGGAAATGTGTGAAACACTAAACGAAAAGTTCCAAAGTGTGTTTGTACAAAATGAAATCTTTAGGGAACCAGATACAATAAGAATTCCAGAGAACAACATAGAACACATAAAGGTGTCTAGAGACGAAGTGGAAAAAATGCTCAAGGAGCTCGGTAAGAACAAAGCAGCTGGCCCAGATGGCGTTTCACCATGGGTTCTGAGAGAATGTGCATCTGAGCTCAGCATTCCACTTCACCTGATCTTTCAGGCATCCCTGTGTACAGGAATCGTAGCAGACGGGTGGAAACAGGCTAACATAGTTCCAATCTACAAAAGTGGCAGCAGGGAAGACCCCCTCAATTATAGACCTGTATCATTGACAAGTGTAATAGTGAAAGTATTGGAAAAACTAATCAAAACTAAATGGGTAGAACACCTAGAGAGAAATGATATAATATCAGACAGACAGTATGGTTTTCGATCTGGAAGATCCTGTGTATCGAATTTACTCAGTTTCTATGATCGAGCCACAGAGATATTACAGGAAAGAGATGGTTGGGTTGACTGCATCTATCTGGACCTAAAAAAGGCTTTCGACAGAGTTCCACATAAGAGGTTGTTCTGGAAACTGGAAAATATTGGAGGGGTGACAGGTAAGCTTCTATCATGGATGAAAAATTTTCTGACTGATAGAAAAATGAGGGCAGTAATCAGAGGCAATGTATCAGAATGGAGAAATGTCACAAGTGGAGTACCACAGGGTTCAGTTCTTGCACCAGTGATGTTTATTGTGTACATAAATGATCTACCAGTTGGTATACAGAATTATATGAACATGTTTGCTGATGATGCTAAGATAATAGGAAGGATAAGAAATTTAGATGACTGTCATGCCCTTCAAGAAGACCTGGACAAAATAAGTATATGGAGCACCACTTGGCAAATGGAATTTAATGTTAATAAATGTCATGTTATGGAATGTGGAATAGGAGAACATAGACCCCACACAACCTATATATTATGTGAGAAATCTTTAAAGAATTCTGATAAAGAAAGAGATCTAGGAGTGGTTCTAGATAGAAAACTATCACCTGAGGACCACATAAAGAATATTGTGCAAGGAGCCTATGCTATGCTTTCTAACTTCAGAATTGCATTTAAATACATGGATGGCGATATACTAAAGAAATTGTTCATGACTTTTGTTAGGCCAAAGCTAGAATATGCAGCTGTTGTGTGGTGCCCATATCTTAAGAAGCACATCAAAAAACTGGAAAAGGTGCAAAGACATGCTACTAAGTGGCTCCCAGAACTGAAGGGCAAGAGCTACGAGGAGAGGTTAGAAGCATTAAATATGCCAAAACTAGAAGACAGAAGAAAAAGAGGTGATATGATCACTACATACAAAATAGTAACAGGAATTGATAAAATCGACAGGGAAGACTTCCCGAGACCTGGAATTTCAAGAACAAGAGGTCATAGATTTAAACTAGCTAAACACAGATGCCGAAGAAATATAAGAAAATTCACCTTCGCAAATAGAGTGGTAGACGGTTGGAACAAGTTAAGTGAGAAGGTGGTGGAGGCCAAGACCGTCAGTAGTTTCAAAGCGTTATATGACAAAGAGTGCTGGGAAGACGGGACACCACGAGCGTAGCTCTCATCCTGTAACTACACTTAGGTAATTACACTTAGGTAATTACTCAGTACTTCGGAATTGGGTAATAATCAACGAAGTAGTCCATGGTACACAGCGCGACTTCGCTCTCGTTGCACCAGGTACAGATAGATTTTCGCTTCCTGTTTCTTCGTTCTGTGTGCTTGCAAATAACGCACTCACGTACACCCTTGACTTTGATACCTGTAGGTGGTATGTAGCCAAGCTTATAAAGTGCAAAGTAGTCTTGAAAAGATTATAGGAAAAGATCAATTTGTAAGGTGTCTTGAAAAGATCGCTTTGTAAGATCCCACACAGGAAGAGATTCTGGCATTCTGGAAGAGATTCAGCCAGCCTCAAAGAGTAAGTCAGTCAGTCAAGAAGAGATTCAGCTATTCTTGAAAATATCTATGGAAAACACCACCATGGAAGCTGGTAACACTGTTCATCTATGCTACTTGTATCAGATGCATCATCACTGATTGCAGAAAACGATTCATCTATGTATCATCTATATAAATTGGAGATAGCACAGGTGGGCAAGGGTGGCGCTCAGAGCTACAACTGGATACGCTCGCTGTATCGTCCTCATAAGTGCTGTATCACTTGCATTCGACCTTCGTGTTAGGTCCTTATTGTGTCTAGCTTCACTAATAGTATGACCCTTATGTTCTTCAAACAATAAGGTTTGAATTTCACCGACAGAGCGCGATCTTTCAACACTGCATCGGACAGGTGTTTGGGAACTAGGGGACTCGTGCGCCACCCATGGTTGCTCACTCAGTACTAACCCAGCCAGCAGCCCTAGGGCATTCTGGAAATTTTTTCCAAGATGGCTGCCTCTCACTGGAGGCACTAAGAGTCCATTTCGTACACAACCAACCTCTCACACATTTAGAATGTGTACGAAAAAATCAGAGTGTTTTCTCGGTTGGCGCAGTTTCCCACCGACCAAAAATACTCGGTTGGCGCAATTCAGTGGTTAAACACCTGTTGGACTCATTACCATAGCCTGTGCTTCTCTTGGGTGATTTTAACTGTCGGCATGCCCTTTGGGAAGGTGATCTGACAAATACCAGAGGCTGTTTTCTCAAACCTTTCATCCTCTCTTCGTTGTTATATCTCCTGAATTTTGGTGAAACTAGTCATATTGACTTGCACACTTTCCTATCTTGATCTTTCTGTGCTTCTCTTCTACTTGTACAGACCTGACATGGAGGGTCCTTGATGACCTCCACAACAGTGACCATTTCCCCATCCTCGTAACCTTGTTTTCTTTCCGCCCTCTTCTTTCATTTCTTTGGTGGTAGTTTGAAAAGGCTGACTGGAGTCTATTCAATCTATACGAAACACTTTCTGACCTGCCTTTCCCTCAGGCCCTCCGCCTTTTCATGACACACTATTTGACATTGGCCTTCGCTCTATTCTTTTCCTTGCTATTCCTCTTTGGGCATGTTCCCTGGTTGAATTTGGGCAGTGCTTGGGCTGTATGCTGCAAGCTAGCAATCTGGAAAAGACACTGATGCTAACAAACCCTGGATTCATTTATTTTGTTTCAGAAAGCTAAGCTTCTGAACAATAGGACCATCTGTACGGCTAAGTGTGAGACTTGCAAAGCTTCTGGTGCCACCATTATGGCTGACACCCCTCTCACTCAGACGGAAGAAAATTCATAAAATTGTGGGTAAATATGTTCCAGACATCTCACCTGCCCTTCACCTCCATTGTTCTGTTGTGGCAGGTCCGGTGTGGGTCGCAAATGAACTGGGTTCATACTTTTCAACAGGTAGTGCCAGTACTCATCTTCCTTGTACTTTTCTTACTTGTAAACCCCTTCTTGAATCCTGTCCCTTAGACTTTAGCACCCATCTACAGCACCCCTATAATGATCTTTTCTCTTTTTCTGAGCTCTAAATCTGCTCTAACCCTCTGCATGCTATGGTGGTTATCTAGAGATGATTTCAAGGCTTAGTGTCCCTGTGGCCCGGTCCTTGACCTGGCCTTCCTTTTGTTACACATCCCCAGGAAGCAGCCCGTAGCAATTGTCTAAACTTCCAGGTACCTGTTTACTGCTAGGTGAACAGGCACATCAGGGTGAAAGAAACTGCCCATTTATTTCTGCCTCCGCCAGGGATTGAACCCGGAATCTTAGGACTATGAATCTCGAGCACTGTCCACTTAGCCATCAGGCCTGAGTAATGGAGTCAGACTGCATTCATTGCGAGACACTCCGTAATCTTCCCAGAGCATTTTACAGTACTGTACAGTGCAACCTCGTTTCAGTGAATCTCCGGCTAGGTTGCACACTTTTCAGGTCAGCTTTATTCACCCTTTTTGACGAACTCTGGTTCACCGAAGCGGGGGATGTGCGGATTTGTTTACGATATTGGGACAGAGTTCACAGACTGGTGGAGAGCTTTCCCATTACCTGTATATCACAAGTTACTATTAATAATTCCTTCATAAGACATGTTGGATCACACAAGTGGACCAAATTAACCAAACACCAGCCAGAGTGGTCCATACAACAAGTGATGACTGAGTTTCCATGATTTTTGTTCACTAATTTATGGCACCCCTATTTTTGTAAATTAATTTAAAGGCTGAAGCATGAGAAGGTAGCTACATGTGGTGAAATCTTCTTATAGACCTTTTCTGTGATGAAACAACATGAGTGAGGGTGGACAGATATAGGGAGTACTGTACTGTAAACCTCAGTTGGTTTTCCTTCATCTGAGACGTCATAGTTCAGTGATCCATGATTTTGAAAGTTTCAGATTAATAAATCATTTCTAAAACAGGTGTTTTAATAGCTTTTTATTATCCTAACTAGCTGTACCCAGGCCACTCGTTGCTGTGGCTCAGCAATGCACGTGCATTGCTGAGCCACAATGAGCCACAACGCACAATGCATGTGCGTTGCTGGCTTTGTGCTCTGGAGAGGCCACTCCAGACTGACAACCAGAGCACAACTCCATAATCTCCTGAGAGTGATAGAAGCCTCCTACTACTAATTCATGTCAGTTTGCAGGAGGTGACTTTTAAGTCTGGTTGACCTGACCACCAACCAGGAGGCCCAGTAAGAGACGGGGCTGCGAGGACATCAATCATCACATCTGCTTCAAGGTATCAAGACTATTTATTTCTGTCTAGCAGAGAAAAAATGTCTCATTAAAGAACAGCTCAAAAGTAATACAATATTTAATCTTACCATTTTTCTCCGTCGTTCCATAAATCTATGCTCAGCTTGAGTCATTGTGCGTGTTGAAGATGTGGGCTCACTGGGAGTCTCTGTCTCTCGCCGAATGCTTGCCTCCATCTGCTTTTCAATATCCTTCTTCTTTTTCTTTTTCTTTCTGAAATATAAATAATTTATCAGTGTGACAACACTTGGTGATAAAAAATTTATTGAAGTGCTTATCAGGTGAGGGGTAGACCAAGTTTTAATAATCCCATCTGACCCAATTTGAGTGCAATTTTATTCATGGTATGTTTTAAAGTGTCATATACAATGTTCTTAAGATTTCAGGACTGAGATGGGAAGACATATTTGCTAAAATCAGTAAAGGTTTTGAATTTTTTGGGGGAGTCAAACTAGAACTCATCATTACCACTACATTTCATATTTACCCAATGTCAAAAACAATTATAGAAACATGCAGTTTCTAGTTTCACAAAATGTTCATACTGTAAATGTGAAACAACTAAATACAGTAACCCTTCTAATCATTTAAATTGCAGATTATCAGTCATTTGCTATTAACCCAATGGCTATTAGGCTACAGTGGGCGGCATGGTCACGATTTGTGTTTATGTTCTCTACTGCGTGTTGAACAGGTTTGCTGCTCACTGCTAATGTACAAGTTTATGGGGCCATTTCTTTGTTCAGCACTTTTATTGTATTTTATCTAAATTGTGATTCCTTCTCATCCTTAACCCATAACCCTTTAACCCTTAAAGTGCGCATCACGTCATATGACGTGTTGGAGTACTACGCAAGATTTAAACGGCCTGTGGATACACGGGGTTCACCACACCTTCATCAGGGTTCTTGTAAACAAACGCCATTTTTTAAGAAAATCGTGGACCAAACTCCCGGGTGTTAAGGGCCTCAGTATTGAGTGAGCAACCAAGCCTGACACACGCAGCATGAGCTAACAGCACTGCTGTTCAGCTTGTGACCATAGCATCGCCTAAAAATGCCATAATATACTTGTTCATGCTATTATGTAGCGATGATATTATTACAGCCCATGGAACGAGTGATGCAAATGCGAAAGAGTTTAAGGCGAGCAGGGGATGGTTTGAGAAATTTAGAAATAGGAGCGGCATTCATAATGTTCTGAGTGTTGTGAGCTGGTGGAGGAACACAGAGAAGGACTGACTACTGAAGAACTTTACAAGGAGCAGCAACAAGAGACTGCTGAGGAAATTTTTTCAAGGGAGGAGGAGACAGTACAGAATGTCCCTTCTCATTAATTAAGAATATGTGTGCAGCATGGGAAGAATTGCAAACTTTTGCTGAAATGACTCACCCAAATGACGATGCAGTAGGCCGTTGCCTTAACCTTTTTAATGACACTGTGATACCTCACTACAGACAAAAATTAAAACATATGGAAAAACAAAAATCTATGGAAAGGTGAGTGAGAAACAAGCAGTGAATCACAACCAGGTCCTAATGGTATGCAGGCAAAACATAGAAGAGAGTGTACCCCAGAGAAGTCATCACTGCCTGATGTTATAATGGAAGGGCACTCCCCTTCCAAACAGTAACACCTCTCCTCCCCCCTCCTCACCATTTTCCATACGCATCAAGAGTCCTCCATAAAGGTAAGATAAACATATGTACTGTATTGTAGTTAGAGAAAAAAATTGTATTCAGTATAAAATGTATTTTTATGTTAATATTTTTGGGGGTGTGGAACGGATTAATCCAATTCCCTTTATTTCTCATGGGAAAAATCGCTTCAACTTACGATACGTCTCTGGGAACGGATTACCATCGTAAATCGAGGCCCCACTGTACATACTTTTTAATGAGTTCGTGAGCCAACTGCTTTATCCACTGAATGTCTCAAATTGATTTTTTTTGTATATAGAGTATATACAGCTTTGTATATACAGTACATACAGTTTTGTATATACAGTATATATAGTTTTGTATATACAAAAGTTCTTACATTCTTGTAAAGCCACTACCAAATTTTTTCCCTGGAATACGACTCGCCAAATCGTTTAACAACCAGGTACCCATTCACTGTTGGGTGAACAGAGGCTACAGTTAAGGATTGACACCCAGTCAATTCTCCTTGGCCAGGATACAAACCCAGGCCAAAGTGCTCACAAAGCGCCGAGCTAGTGTTTTACCACTACGCCACAGGGACTGCTTGCAGATAAAGATGTTTTCAAGCAGCCACCTTCACAACTCCCTCCTATATAATCTTATTTAACAAATATTGATAATCGCCCAGAAATTTCAGTAAGCGTGATTGCTAAGTGTGGAGCTTAAGTTCCATCCCTAAAACAAACTGATGTAACACCAGTGACAATAACACAATACATGAATAATAATAAATAGGCTTGAAATTTACATTACAAATGCAAACCAAGAGCATTCTCTTACCTAACTAAAGTATTGTCAGTCCACCAGATACAGGCAGATTGCCCAAAATGCTGCAAGTGGCTTTGCCAGAATTAAACCATTTAATCAACAATATTTATAACAACTAACCCCATTGTAATGTTATGTAAATAAATAGTGTGGACACAGGCCCAAAGGCTACTGCATAATTATATTTTCAAAACCATATACTGTATATCGATCATTAGACTAGGCTGTATTAGGTAAGGACAGTTTGGGCTAGTAAACTCGAGGCAGGTCAAGTGTTCTACCACTTACTAGTAGAAAATAGGGACCTGGGAGTTAGGCATCTATTGTAGGTTATATCCTGTCAAGCTTATTAGTCTTAATAGGCTTCCTGTTCCTGACAACAGGAAAAGAAACTTGCAAGTTGACCTGAGACGTGTTTTGCGCCTGGTTTGAGGCTCGTCTTATAACTTAATTACAACGGAGAGCCGCCACTGAAAGAAAGACAGGTTCCGATAACATTATGATAATCAGACAGTTACAGTTAACTTACTTTTTAATCCCTGAATCTTCGACACCCTTAATTTTCAGAGAACCTTTAGCGCAGAAGTACTCGTCCGCGGACATCTTGTTTGTTTACACACCGCCTGAGGCAGGGTTGCCACATCTGAATTGCTGAAAGTAGCGAGCTGAAGGACTAAGAGTAGCGAATTTGTAATAAAAGAAGCCAAATATTTTTTTAGTGATTAATGCGGGTTTCAAAGCAATATATGTTATTTATTGATTGATTTATTTATAAACAAGAAGGTGCAGTACATTGGATTCATTAGAGTACAGAGGTTTACATTCTTGTAAAGCCACTAGCATGCATAGCGTTTCGGGCACCGCTCGAAACTTTAAGATATACTTTTAAGAAGGTAATTTCTAGCAAAATTAAAAAAAAAAGGTTTACAGGTACATTGCAAGAAAGTATAAAAATACATTGTAAGAAAGTACAGAAAAGAACATTGTATAAGAAATTAGACAGGAAAAAAGTTGGTACATAAAACACTTTAGCGCTCTCCACCAACAGTACCAAAACTTGCTCCGAGTGGAATTGTTCCGAACCATAATGGAAACAGACCCAAGTATAGGATGGGTTAGCCCAAGTATCGCGTTTTCAAAAGGGTCGCCCGTGTTGGAAAAGACGAACGCTGAAAGAATATTGTTGAAAACATCTTGATAACTGATTAAACCAAAATTATTTATTAGTCAGAAGAAAGACAGAAACGCGATCTATATGTAAAACCTCTACCAGACAAATATTTTAAGTAAAACCGAAGATATTTGTAGTTGTATAAAAGTGGCAGTTTTCATCGCTCGTCGAGCTCAAAAACCGCAGCATTCATCTCAGAACCATACCTATTTCACGCAGATTCCTTAATAAACATAAGAGTTTTATATGTCACAAGAAAGACAGATATATAAGCTTCGTTCTAAATACCTTAACATGAGCATATTTAAATTTAAAGCGAAGATACGTGTACTTTTATAATAGCCGAGCTCCGACTCCCGGTCCATAGAATTACCCAAATTAATTACCCATAGAATTACCCATAGAATTACCCATAGAATTACCCCGGTCCATAGAATTACCCAAATCGGCCCAAAACTACACAAATCGTCCTAGCATTACGTAAGTAATGAAGAAATATGGTATATTTACTTACTATAATGTTGGTGCTACACGTAGAACATGATCAAACCTATTTTTACTCTGAAATAATCTAATTTCATAACAAAATGAGACGTAAATATGTGAGAGGTGACGCCATAGGAAGTCGACGGTCCAATCGACAATTGTGTGGAGCGACTTATCCAAGATATATGGTCGCCTGGAGAGTGTTTGCTGCCATATCAGCCTCCTGTACACAGTGATCCAGTCGTCGCATTTCATGGCTCAAATTGTCGCAAATTTAATTGGTGATATTATGAAGTAGAATGTGTATTTATATAATATCTTTCATAAACAGCCATTAAATCTTTAATATTTATTAAACAAAACGTGTCTGGAAGTTAAATCAACTCCACAGGACAAAAAATTTGTTATATAGATACTAGCGTTATTCGTTGGTATGCGTTCGCAATTTAAACTGCTCATGTGTTTACTAGTTGTGTTTACTAGTTGTGTTTTTGCGGGGGTTGAGCTTTGCTCTTTCGGCCCGCCTCTCAACTGTCAATCAACTGTTTATTAACTACCTTTTTTTTTTTTTTTCCACACCACACACACACACACACCCCAGGAAGCAGCCCGTGACAGCTGACTAACTCCCAGGTACCTATTTACTGCTAGGTAACAGGGGCACTTAGGGTGAAAGAAACTTTGCACATTTGTTTCTGCCTCGTGCGGGAATCGAACCCGTGCCACAGAATTACGGGTCCTGCGCGCTATCCACCAGGCTACGAGGCCCCTCCTTTTCGTTCATTGAACACCGAACCCTACACAACCATGCACAACTCAAAGTCCAACAAGTCACACCCCCGGAGTAATGCAATCGGAACCTGACAAGTTGTGTAACCGGAGCCCGACCAGTTGTCTAACTGCAAGCCTAACATGAACGAACCAAACAAACAACCTCTGGATCACAACCATGCACGAACGGAAGCCCGACCATGCACAACCCAAAACTCAGGTGAGACCCCCAGAGCCCGACCAGTTACTTAACCGGAGTCCGACCAGTTATTTAACCGGAGCCCGACCAGTTGTGTAACCTGAGCCCCACTAGTTGTGTAACCGGACCCCGACCAGTTGTGTAACCTTAAGCCTAGCAAGTATACATCTCATCCAACCCCCACAAAGCTAAACAGTCCCAGCTGAACACAACCAAACTCCATTCCTAGCTCGACCAAACAAAAATCTGCTTAGCCCTACCAAAAATCCTCCACTTGCCCTGGACACCAGCTATTGACCCATAGCAAACAATTGAACTATATACAAAAGAAGGAAACCCGGATTTCTAGCAAACATATAAACAGAGCCTTAGCAAACAAACCTGGAGCACTAGTGCACAAACAACCTCTGGATCACAACCATGCACGGACGGAAGCCCGACCATGCACAACCCATAGCCCAAGGGACACCCCCGGAGCCCGACCAGTTATTTAACCGGAGCCCGACCAGTTATTTAACCGGAGCCCGACCAGTTGTGTAACCGGAGCCCGACCAGTTATTTAACCGGAGCCCGACCAGTTATTAACCGGAGCCCGACCAGTTGTGTAACCTGAGCCCCACCAGTTGTGTAACCGGACCCCGACCAGTTGTGTAACCTTAAGCCTAGCAAGTATACATCTCATCCAACCCACACCATTAAGCTAAACAGTCCCAGAACACAACCAAACTCCATTCCTAGCTCGACCAAACAAAAATCTCCTTAGCCTTACATAAAACCCTCCACTTGTCCTAGAAACCAACTATGGAGCCATATCAAACAATTGAACTATATAAAAAAAAAGAAACCCGAATTTCTAGGAAACATATAAACAGAGCCCTAGCAAACAAACCTGAAGCACTAGTACACAAACAACCACTGAAGCACAACCATGTACGAACCGGAGCACAACCATGTGCAACCCAAAGCCCAACAAGTCACACCCCTGGAGTTATCTAATCGGAACCCGATAAGTTATGAAACCGGAGCCCGACCAGTTGTCTAACCACAAGCCTAGCATGAACGAACCAAACAAACAACCTCTGGATCACAACCATGCACGAACGGAAGCCCGACCATGCACAACCCATAGCCCAAGTGACACCCCCGGAGCCCGACCAGTAATTTAACCGGAGCCCGACCAGTTGTGTAACCGAAGCTTGACCAGTTGTGTAACCAGACCCTGACCAGTTGTGCAACCGTAAGCCTAGCAAGTATACATCTCATCCAACCCCCATAAAGCTAAACAGTCCCAGAGCACAACCAAACTCCATTCCTAGCTCGACCAAACAAAAATCTGCTTAGAGCTACCTAAAACCCTCCACTTGTCCTAGAAACACACTATGGAGCCATATCAAACAATTGAACTATATACAAAAAAAGAAACCCGAATTTCTAGGAAACATATAAACAGAGCCCTAGCAAACAAACCTGAAGCACTAGTACACAAACAACCACTGAAGCACAACCATGTACGAACCGGAGCACAACCATGTACGAACCGGAGCACAACCATGTGCAACCCAAAGCCCAACAAGCCACACCCCTGGAGTTATGTAATCGGAACCCGACAAGTTATGAAACCGGAGCCCGACCAGTTGTCTAACCACAAGCCTAGCATGAACGAACCAAACAAACAACCTCTGGATCACAACCATGCACGAACGGAAGCCCGACCATGCACAACCCATAGCCCAAGTGACACCCCCGGAGCCCGACCAGTTATTTAACCGGAGCCCGACCAGTTGTGTAACCTGAGCCCCACCAGTTGTGTAACCGGACCCCGACCAGTCGTGTAACCATAAACCTAGCACGTATACATCTCATCCAACCCCCACCATTAAGCTAAACAGTCCCAGAGCACAACCAAACTCCATTCCTAGCTCGACCAAACAAAAATCTGCTTAGAGCTACCTAAAACCCTCCACTTGCCCTAGAAACCAACTATGGAGCCATATCAAACAATTGAACTATATACAAAAAAAGAAACTCAAATTTCTAGGAAACATATAAACAGAGCCCTAGCAAACAAACCTGAAGCACTAGTACACAAACAACCACTGAAGCACAACCATGTACGAACCGGAGCACAACCATGTACGAACCGGAGCACAACCATGTGCAACCCAAAGCCCAACAAGTCACACCCCTGGAGTTATGTTGTAGCGAGTAGATTATCCCAATAATATACTCGCTCCAAATATAGGGTTAATATTCCTGTCAACCTTTGGAGATGAATGAGGTGAGGCGTTGCCCGGGCAACACGGTGAGGTGTTGCCCGAGCAATATAAGCAGCAAGAATAGCAAACATTAACGAGTCTACTTTCAAGTGTGGTCTAGAGCAGACACTTGCGAGATACTGTACCAACGCTCAGTGCGCTCAACTCACACCAACGTATCACCTGTGTACTTCTGTATATTCGACCAAATATATATATAGTATCTTAGTGTCTGTGTTTATTTGTCACCATACTTTACGTAACAATAGAATCGTTACATTGGTGACCCAGTGAGTGAAAAAGAACACCTAGTCACAAACTAGATCTTCGTCATGGATTTATCTACCAGGTTTCCAGCATACAACGCAGATGAGCCAGAATTTTGGTTCATGCAGATGGAGGCTATTTTCGACCTTCACGAAATTTCGACTGAGAAAGCCCGATATGCCTGTACCCTGCCAACACTTACCTCGGAGGCTATGCACACTGCCTCCGCTGTCATCACCGCGCCATCACCGGACACCAGGACGTACACTGCATTGAAGGCCACTCTTCTACAGGCAGCAATGAAACGCCGCATTCAACAAAGGGACCAACTCCTCACTGACAAAAGGTTAGTAGACAAAGCACCAGCCCAGCTTCTGCGGCATATTCAGTATGTGATGCATACTGCAACTGGTCCAGCCCCCAGCGAGATTGTGAGATCACTGTGGATACAACTCTGTCCAAAACACATTCAACCGGCCCTATTCAGTATGGCTGACGACAC